ATGGCGTAAGTGGTAGAGTACCTGCTTAGCAAGTGTAAGGCCTGAGTACAAACACCAATACTGCCAAAAAGAAAGAAAAAGACAGTTGTCTTTTTTTGATCCTGTACCAGAACTTGAACTCAGGGACTCATGCTTGTTTGGCTAGTGCTCCACCACTTTTGCCTCTGACCCCCATCTTAGCTTTTTGTTGGTATTTTTGTAGATGGGAGTCTCATAATTTTTTTGCCCAGGTTACCGATGAATCTCAGTCCTCAAATTCTCAGCCTCTTGGGTAGCTAGAATTACAGGTGTAAGCACTGGCCCCTGGCTTTTTTGTTTTTTCTTTTTTTTTAATATCATCTGTGTAGTCTCACTGGCCTTGAAATAATGATCTCCCTTGCCTCAGCCTCCAGAGTGCTGGAATTACAGGTGTGAAAAGTCAAGAACATTTTAATTTAGCCAATTCTTCCATAAGAAAAGAAAAAGAGAAGGCTTATAATCTTCAGTGTCCAGAAGAGAATAAGGAAGAAGAAAGGACAAAGAAGAATAAATAACGAGAGGCAATTTTTAAGGCTTAAGTGCTGAAATGAATGTTAACTTGCAGTAATTCTTTCAATGCTTCTGAATTCTGATCTAAGGACTTATGACACTTATGTGTGTGTTGGTCCTGGTGCTTGAACTCAAGGACTGGGCACTGTCTGAGCTTTTCTCCTCAAAATTAGTGCTTTACTACTCAAGCCACAGCTTCACTTTCATCTTTTTGGTGGTTAATTGGAGGTAAGCATCTTATAGACTGTCCTGCACAGGCTGGCTTCAAACCTTGATCTTCAGATCCCAGTCTCCTGAGTAGCTAAGATTACAGAAATAAGCTACTGGGCTGGGAAGGTGGCTCAGTGGTAGAGTGCTTGCCTTGCATGCCTGAGGCCCTGGGTTCGATTCCTCAGCACCACATAAGCAAAAAGCCAGAAGTGGCGCTGTGGCTCAAGTGGTAGAGCGCTAGCCTTGAGCTGAGGGACAGCGCCCAGGCCCAGAGTTCAGGCCCCACGACCGGACCAAAAAAAAAAACAAACAAACAAACAGAAATGAGCTATTGGCACCCAACAGAACACAATTTTAAAGCAAAAACAAACTACTAATGCAATAGGATAAAAAAAAATAGAACATAGCTGCTAAATTTCCAGTACCTAGCAAGTGCAGTAAGCATAATTCCCTTCTACAATATAAACAAATAAAACACATGTTTTGTTTGTTTTGTTTTTTTGAGCCAGTCCTGAGGCTTAAACAATGCCCAAGCACTGTCCCTGAGTTCTTTTGTTCAAGGCTAGCACTCTACCACTTGAGCCACAGCACCACTTCTGGTTTTCTGGTAGTTAATTGGAGATAAGAGTCTCACTGACTTTTCAGCTTGGACTGGCTTTGAACCATGATCCTCAGATCTCAGCATTCTGAGTAGCTAGGATTACAGGTGCGAGCCATTGGTGCCCAGCTAACACATGCATTCTTTAATGAGTCAAATCTTCTCTTACTTCTATACAACATACTCAAGAAAGATAAACATAAGACAAAAGTAAAAACTACCTTATTACATTTTTATATTAAAAAAAAAGGTCTAAAGATACATATACTTGGGCTGGTAATGTGGCTCAGTGGTAGAGTGCCTGCCTAGCATGCATGAAGCCTTGGGTTCCATTCCTCAGTACCACATAAAAAGAAAAAGGCAGAAGTGGTAGAGCACTAGCCTTGTGCACATAAAGGCTCAGGGACAGAGCCCAGGCCCTGAGTTCAAGCCTCAGAATCAGGAAAAAAAAATGTCTAAAGATACACACTTGCCAGGCCCTGGTGGCTCAGGCCACCAGAAAGCTGAGATCTGAGGATCATGGTTCAAAGTCAAGGAGGGCAGAAAAATCTGTAAAACTCTTAACTTCCAATTAACCATCAGAAAACCAGAAGTGGTGCTGTGGCTCAAGTGGTATGGCACTCACCTTGAGCTGAAGAGCTCAGGGACAGAGCCCAGGTCTAGAGTTCAATACCCATGACTGACAATTAAAAAAAAAAAAAAAAAAGATACATACACTTTCAGAAAACCATTAAGGTTTATACAACTGACATGGGGTCTAGCCAAAATAAAATGAAAACCCAGTCATCCTAATTCCTAGAACTTCTCAAGAGTCACTAAAATGTCCTTTCACTCAAACCCAGTGTTATCTGTCATTAACATTTCATTTCTAAGGTCCAACTCTGTATGATAAATTGCCTGAAATTTCATGTTTGTTTGTAGAGCATATGTTACTTTTTTTTCATGTTACCTAATTATGGGTATTGTAGTGGACATTGGTTAATAATTTTAAAGCCAAGGAGGCAAATAGTTCAGTAGTTTTATCAAACTTGTTTTTACTTGTACAATGACTCATATAACACACATTAGAGTAATGTATGTTTATCAGATCTCATCCTCCCCATTCACCTCCTACAATACAAATACATGGAACTGATGCAGGTATTCATACTTATTTAAATTATTCAAAAGGTTCTCAGAGCAATTTTTTAATTCCAGCAAAAGCTTTATGAACTTTCTGTAGCCTTAAAGAAACTCTAAAGCCAGACGCCGGTGGCTCATGCCTGTAATCCTAGCTACTCAAAAGGCTGAGATCTGAGGATCTCGGTTCAAAGCCAGCCCGAGGAAGGAAAGTCCTCCCTGAGACTCTTATCTCCAATAAACCACTAGAAAACAGGAAGTGGCACTGTGGCTCAAGCGGTAGAGCGCTGGCCCTGAGCTAAAGAGCGCAGGGACAGCACCCAAGCCCAGAGTTTAAGCTCCACTACCGACCCAAAAAAAAAAGAAACTCTAAGGCTGGGAATGTGGCTTAGTGGTGTTTGCCTAGCATGCATGAAGCCCTGGATTCAATTCCTCAGTACCACAGAAAAAGCCAGAAGTGGTGCTTTGGCTCAAGTGATAGATTATTAGCCTTGAGCAAAAGAAGCTCAGGGACAATGCCCAGTCACTGAGCTCAAGCTCCAGAACTGGCAAAAAAAAAAAAAAAAAGAAATTCTAAATTGAAGTTTGACATTTACAAAAGTATACAGTATCATGTTTGAGTTAACCATTTTATTTAAAAAGGCTCTTGGTTTGCATTTAAAAAATACTTTTTAATCAGCTTGCTCCTCTTGTTTTACTTTTCCTCTGCAGCAAAACTAATAAATGCAACAAACTTTACTCAGGCATTAACAAATATTTTGCTACCTTTTCAAATATGTCTCAAAATGCAACAGGAAGATGCAAATGAAATAAAAATCATCTGATCAGTTTAAAACGCATCATTGACTCCATTTATATTTTAAAAGTACATTCACAGTTTAATATAAATTAAGCAAGCTAGAATTGGAATAAAAGTCTAATTTTAGAAATTCTTAATGCCATGTACATCACTGGTATTCACACCCTCACACTTAAGAAACACTTATGAACCTTGAAGCTGTAAATCAGTTTGAATGATGGCCTCTTTCATGTCATGTAAGCCATTGCCTAATTGAGGCCAGACCTGTCAGGCTCAACAGCATCCCGGAAATGACTAGCCTAAGAAGGGCTGGAAACACATCAAGAATTTGTAATATTTTTCATATTGAAGCAAGGGGAAAAAAAGTTCAAGTGAGATTGTGCTTAAGGACAATCATTATACTGTTCTGCAGAGAGTGGGAGGGAACCCGACAAAAGGCATATTTTTGTTATTCTTGTAGACCCATAACCAAAACATCTAAATTCTGTATTTTATTCAGGTAATGTTCTGCTGAACTTATTCCTCTTCTTTATCTATATGAGCATGAATTCACTCTTAAATTCTCATGTTAAATGCCTGTCCTTTGATCTAATTTTCATTTTATATCCTTAGCTACTAAAACCACCTGGAGCATGGCTGGTTTTGGGACTTTGAAACCTGTTAATAATAACGCCTAGCACCTAATCAGCTTAATGCTTTTCACTTCTAACCAAGAAAATCCATTAAATGTCTAAAAGAAATAGATTCACACATACTTAAATCCCGGTCATGAAAAAAATTAAGTCACATTCCAGCCATGAACTGTGCAAAAAAGACACTTCCAGTTAGTATGTGCTCTGGTAAGCATGGACATCGGTATCAGTTAAGTGGTAGGGGGTTGGGGCTGTTAACACTCTGTGCATTAGAGCCAATAGCAGCAGCAGGCCATAACTGGCAGCAAGGCCAGTCTCTAAAGGGAGCTATAATACAGTAACACAATGCTGGATGTCTGAATGCCATTTTATGGAAGAGAGGGGGTGAGAACTGGGAATCAAGTGCAGTAAAACGCCTCTGATCAATGTCGAGGAGAAGAAACCCAAGACAAGGTCTTATGGCCAGACCAGCTGTCCAGTCTCATCTCACCTCGAACACAACTTCATTTCAGGTCGTTCTTGTCAAAGTCAGCACAAACAGGGTGAGGGGCGAGCGGAAGAGATGGATGGTCTAGCCCTCAAGAGACTGGACAAGGCCCTCTGAAAAAGCAAAGGCTCTCCAATAGGAAGGGATTCATGGTTGGGGGGGGGGGGGAACAGCCAGCTTTGCAGCCGCCTCCCCAATCCCTTCCAGCCAAGGCTGTTATGGACGATGTTAAGGATGTTGCTGGGGTTTTTCCGAAGGAGTGATAGAAAATGGCAGTGAAGGATGATGAGGGGGGCTGGAAAGACTGAAGGCACCCCCCCCCGAGAAAGGACTCCCCCTGGACACGGCCAGCACAACGCCGCCGCCGGAGAGCACGAGCGCTGCCCGGCCAGCGCCTGACACCCTCCTGTCTGCGAGAGCTTCGCCTCCTTCCATCCGGTCCCCGATTCCCAAACACCGCTCGCCCCCCGACCAGAATGCTCCCCAGCTCCGCGGCCTGCTTTCCCTTCCGCCGTGGACGCCCCACACCCTCCACCTCCCCTCCGGCACGGTCACCCACCCCCCCCTCCCCACCCGGCGGCCCGCCGCCGGCCTCCCCGGCGGCTCGCCCGGACCCCTCCCCCTCACCTCTCCTCAGCGCCTCCTCGTAGCTGAGGAATCCGATCCGTGACTCCTTGGCGCCCATGCTCCCCTCATCCCCTCGGCCGGGGGTCGGAGCCTGGTCTCGCCCCCACCCCCACCCCCCCTTGGCTGCCTTCTCCGCCGCGTCCCTGACTGACGGTGTCGGCGTCCCCGGCCCCCTCCTCCCCCAACACTAACAAGTGCGGCTTCTGCCCCGGCGGCTCCTCCCGGCCACCGCCTCCATGCCGAATCACGTGACACGCTCCCGCCCCGCCCCCTTCCCCTCCCTCTTCCCCTCCCTCTCCCTTCTACTCCGCCCTTCTCTCTTCCCACCCACCCCCCCCTCCCCTCCGCCCTTTCTCTTCCTTCCTCACGCCCTCTTCCCTCCTCTCCACACCCCCCCCTCCTCCCACGAGCTCAGCCGAGGGTCACCTGACCCCAGGCTGGGGATGGTTCCGGGGAATGGCCACCCGGGGGCCACACACGCCGCCCCGCCCCACGCTAACCGCGCTTGGGATGATCGCAGGGGCGGAGCCACGTCGTCCCACGTAATACGTCATTCACCTGCCCGCCAATCCTTAGCTGCGAAAAGCTCCCCGGAGCCTCCTCCAGCGAGGCAGGCAGTGACTTCCGGGGCGTTCGAGGACGGTCCCGCCCACCTTCATCTTCGGGTGTCAGTCGGGAGGTTCCCGACCCCCGGCCGTTGGAGGGGCGGTGGCTGGGGCTCACCTTTCGGGGCCGGTGGAATGTTAGGAAACGGGGATCTGAAAAGTGTGGTTGGTAGGGGAGGAGCGGGCCGGGCAGGCGGGAATCACGTGTTAGACTTTTTTATTTTCTTTTTGACCGGGAGGAAGTTGTGAAAGGAGAATTTCGTGGCTTTCCTGTGACGGGAGAACTGTGCTCCGAGCCCGGAGATCCCGTAGGCAGGTGAGCTGGGGAGCGAGGCGGGCTTGCCTGGCCTGCGGAGCCGCCCCGGGCCCCGCCACTCTGGGTCGTCGTTCCTCCAAGAGTGGCTCTCCATAAATGTGTTGGTTCCGAGGCCAAACCTGGCTACTGGCACGCCTGGAATCGTAAGTTCGAAGCCAACCTGGGCAAGGAAAGTCCGTGAGACTCATCTCCAATAAACTGTCACACACACACACACACACACACACTACCCGGAAGTGGAGGCTGTGGCTTAAGTGGTAGAGCACTAGTCTGAGCAGAAAAAGCCCATGGACCGCGCCCAGGCCCTGACTCCAAGCCCCGGAACCGGTACATACACACACACATTTGAAAGTAATAAAACATACAAGAATTTACCGCGCTAAGCATGATTAAGTGTGAATTTGGTGGCATTAGGTACTTACTTCGTTGGGCTGACTTTACCCTGAGGTCCAGATTACGTAGGTCTGCTTGCAAAACTGAAACTTCACTGACCGGTATCCCTGCATTGGTTTCCCCCTCACACCTCTCTTGGCAACCTCTGAATGGAACTGTGTGTGTCCTTTTGTGACTGGCTCAGCGTGTTGTACTGTAGAACACAGTTCCAGATCTACCCTATGATCCAGCAGTTCCAGGATATCCCTCCAATTTTTTTTTTGGGGGGGGGAAGGGGTCTGGTCGTGGGGCCTGAACTCTGGGCCTGGGGACTGTCCCTCAGTTCTTTAGCTGAAGGCTAGCGCTCTACCACTTGAGCCATAGCACCACTTCCGGCTTTTTTTCCCCTCTGCTTATGTGGTGCTGAGGAATGGAACCCAGGGCCTCATGCATGCAAGGTAAGCACTCTACCACTGAGCCACCTTCCCAGCCCATTCTCCTCAGCTCTTCAGCTCAAGGCTAGCGCTCAGCCACTTGAGCCACAGTACCACTTCCAGTTTTCTGGTGGTTAATTGGAGAGGAGTCTCAGGGACTTTCCCCCCTTTGGCTGGCTTTGAAACGCCTTCCTCAGATCTCAGTCTCCTGAGTAGCTCAGATTACAGGCGTGAGCCACCAGCACCCGGCCAATTTTTTTAAAAAAGGGAAAATGATGCAAACATGTACACCCATGTTTATAGCAGAATTATGGCAAAATAATGTCATGAACGAGTAAATAAAATATTAAGTACAATGGAATATTTTTTCATTTGTATTTTCTTTCATTCACTTATTTTTCACACTGGAAGTCACAACATAAAGTTTCTCATAAGGAAACAACATTGAAAAATAGCTGCCTGGATTAGATTAGATTCACAGTGCCAAATAGGTCATATAGGGCCAGCAAAAAGATTTTAGTGCCTAAAGCTAACAGAGAAAGAAGATAATATTGTTTCTCTACTCACCTTTCCTGGCAGACCAGATCAGCGGCGTGGCATTAGTCATAGTGCCCTTTCCAGTTCACTGTGAGGCAGTTAATTTTTAGACTTCAGATTACTTGCATTACCAATAGGCCATGAATCAGGAGGTTGAGAATGTATTTCAAAGCCTTTAATTTCCAAGTCATTAGTTTGATGTAGACAGCCAGCTGTCTTCAGACAAACAGCTCAGTCATCTTCAGCCTGCACAGTATGAGTTCTAAAATTATCATAATGGGAAAGTAGATCTGAAGAAAGAGCTCAGCTTTAAGGGAAAAAGACCCTCAAGAATTCAACTGTAGCTGGGCACTGGGGACTCAAGCCTATAATCCTAGTTACATAGGAGGCTGAGATCTGAGGATCACAGTTCAAAGCCAGCCTGGGCAGAAAAGTCTTCATGAGATTCCAGTTAACCAGTCAAAAACCAGAAGTGGAGCTGTGGCTCAAAGTGGTAGAGGGCTAGCCTTGAGCAAAATAACTCAGGGACAGCACCCAGGCCCTGAGTTCAAGCCCCACAAAAGACAAAAGAAAAAAAAGTTCACCTGTAACTTAGAGCAATCATTATTAATGTCCTCAACAACATCTACAGATGATTGCCCTGTACAAATAATACGCCTGAATGTGTAGCAACCCAATTAGAAGCAAACTCGTTTCTCTCTTTGTGGCCCTTGCCCTACTTGAAGGATGGGACTAGTGCTAGCATTTATCTGGTAAAATAACTACTACAAAATATTCAGGAAAGAATAAAAAACATTATAATGTAAGATTTAGAGTAGGGCTGGAAGCATAACTCAAATGATAGTGCCAGCTTAGCAAGCCCAAGGCCTTGAGTTCAAACCTCAGTTTAAGAAGAAAAAGGGAAAAAAAAAAAAGATGTAAAGCAGTACTAACAGGAATTAGTTTTAAATTTTAACTCAACAGTGGCTTGGCTTCCCCTAGAGCTATAAATTTTTTATTCCATCTCAGAGTTTATCATAGATTCAACACTTGTAACAACTGAGAGATGAGATAGCAAACTAAGAATTACTATTTTTGCTTTGTCTGAGTTGAATTAAGCATATTATTGATGGCAGTGAGGGAAAATGTTAAGTGTTAAGCTGGGACCAAAACTGGCCTTTTGGTTTGTACTAAATGTCATCAGGCAATCATATGTTAATCATCTCTCTATAAGTTAAAATTGATAACAGTACTTAAGTTTGATGATGTAGAAAAATCTAAAGTCTACTTGTCATGCTGAAAGGAATTCTATTAATCATTTAGTTTGTTCAGTTTCACTTAATCTGTTGAAGAGTTGGCCAGCCATCTTACTTGAAGCATTAGGTTGTACTTATAGAACTGTCTGTCACTTTAACTATAATCACATACCTGTGAAATGAATGTCCATACAAAGATTTAGAGCAAGGCAGATTGGTATGTAATTTCTATTTCCAGTTGGGCAACCTAAATGACAGTTTGTACTCCCAGAGAAATGACATAAGACTAGAACAGAGTCATTTTAGTATTTGCCGACGAAGCTTAGCTAAGCCACAGACAGGGAGGCCCGTAAAATAAAGAAGGGTGTAAACAGCACCTGACTGATGGTTGCAACAGGGGGCCAATGCTTCATGAAGTGGCTATCCAATACAAGAATTGATTTCCCCAATATTATGAACTTGTTACCTTACAGTGACACAATATAAAGATGCAGTCACTTGCATTATATTTCACTTGCTCTTTAAGCTATTTTAAAATAAATGATACGTGTTCATTTAATTTTTTCTATTGATACATAAATGTCTATGATATAAAAATCACTTCCTGCTTTATTCCAGTATGACTCCCTAGGAGTTAAGTGTGTAACCTTCTAGTTTTCCATTATATCCACCAGATTTGCCACTCATATAAAATGCATGCTGTATTTCCTTTCCTGTTACACTCTTCCTAGTATTACTTCATTTGTGTATGTAAGACTGTTTCATGAAGATAATTTTTTTACACATGTCAATTGCATATATTTGAGGCATAATTCATCTTATTGGAGAACATTAGATTGTTTTAAGTATTTACATATTACATGATTACAATATGCTAAACAAAGAGTATCTTTAATAAGTACCTTGTGAGAGGGGGAGGGAAAGGGAGAAGAATGAAGGAAAGGGTAACAAGTTAGACAAGAAATGTAATCACTGTTTTACCTCCGTAACTGTAACCCCTCTGTATATCACCTTGGCAATAAAATCTAAAAAAAATAAAAATAAAAAATAATAAGTATCTTGCAAAAGTCAGGCTTGTAAAATGTTTGTAATCCCAGCACTCTGGAGGTTGAAACAGGAAGATCAAGGTTGAGGCCAGTTGCATGAATTCAAGGCAAGCTTCAACTATGCAGCAAAAATTTAAATTGCAAAAAATAAACTTTTTTTTTTTGTCAGTCATGGGGCTTGAACTCTGGGCCTGGGAAGTGTCCCTCAGCTCTTCAGCTCAAGGCAACCACACTACCATTTGAACCACAGTGCCACTTCTGGTTTTCTGGTAGTTAATTGGATATAAGAGTCACACAGACTTTTCCTGCCCTGGCTAGCTTTGAACTGATTCTCAGATCTCAGCCTCCTGAGTAGCTAGGATTACAGATTGAGCCTTGGTGCCTGGCTAAATATCTTTTTTTTTTTTTTTTTTGGTGGGTCATGGTGATTGAACTCTGGGCCTGGGCACTGTCCCCTCAGCTCTTCAGCTCAAGGTGAGTGCTCTACCTCTTGAGCCACAGCGCCACTTCTCGTTTTCTAGTGGTTTATTCTAGATAAGAGTC